TCCCTGTTGGCAGCCCTCCAGGCGAGACTTTGGGGCTTAGGGTTTAGGAGCCTTCTGCTACCCTTTGTCCTCAACTCCAAACCCTAACCCCTAAACCCTAAACCCTAAACCCTAAACGCTAAACGTTAAACCTTAAACCCTAAACCCGAAGCACTAAGCCCAAGGTTCGACAAACAGACAAGCAGAACCAATGTCCAGTCTATGGCTCTCCTCACCCTAAACCCCCGACCCTGCACAACATCGCAGCGATGTTCCGGTGAAACTCATTCCCCAAGTACGGATATCCCGAAGGCCAACCTAGATAAACATGTTGCAACTCGTTTTTTTTTTTTTTTGAGGGGGGGGGGGGGTGCTTGGGCAGTCTGGCGTTTCTTGCGGCTGAGGGTTGATGTGTTGTCTCACAATCCTACATCCAAAACCGGATCAAGAGGGACCCTAAACCCTCTAAACCCTAATAAACCCGAAGCCCTACCACAAACCCTAAACCCGAAGCCCTAAAAATGAGCCCTAATCCCTAAGCCCTACCCCAAACCCTAAACCCTAAACCCTAAGTCCGAAGCCCCCTAAGCCCTGAAAATGAGCCCTAATCATCATCCTTGGCCACCATGAACATTTCCACCATCTGGGGGGTCCAGCTCTTTGGCAAAAGACGCCGTCATCCTGGCACAGGTTTAGGGTTTAGGGTTTAGGGTTTAGGGTTTAGGGTTTAGGGGTTTATGGGTTTATGGCTTTATGGGTTTATGGGTTTATGGGTAGCTCTTGAAATTCGGCTCCCCCTAAGCCCTTCAGGGTTTATGGGTTTACGGGCTTGGGACTCTTTCAGGGGTTCCTCCTCATTTGCGGAGCCTCTAAAGAAACAAAACAAGGCTTCGAGCTCGTCGGACAGGGTTTAGAGTTGACCTTAAGAACCCAAAACCTCCTCTTTTGTGTAGGTTCCCTTAAAAATCCCTAAGAACCCTATGAAGGGGTGTGATTTTCACAGCCTACGAAAATGCAGGTTTGGAGTTTGTAAGGTAGGGCTTCGACTCTCACAGATCGGTCTGGTTCAACTAGAGACTACCTAAACCCTAAACCCTAAACCCTAAACCCTAAACCCTAAACCCTAAACCCTAAACCCTAAACCCAAAGCCCTCAACCCTTAAAACCCTGAAACCCTCAAGTCCAGTGCCCTGTTGTTTGCCAGCTGCTCTGCAAATGCTAATAGGTGGACCTAAAAATGGACAAGGCTAAGATCGGAGGCTCATAACCCGAAGCCCCAAACTACAGGGTCCAGGACAAGCCTTCTAACTTCTATTAGGGTTTAGGGTTTAGGGTTTAAGAGCTCCTGGTCGAGCAGTTTCTCGTTTAGGCTCTGTGTTTAGAACATCGAAAAATACCCACCCACCCGAAGTTCCCATAACATTAAGAAATAAAAAAATTCTTCTTTTTTTGGATGGTTCAATAACAAAATGAATGACTTCCACCTAACAAACGAGGAGGTGGAGATACTAAACCACGCGAGGCTTTGAGGTCTTGAAATCCTAAACTGAGGCTCAAACCTTGAAAAAAATGTTAAAAAATGAAAAAACGAAGGAAAAAAGAAGGAAAAAAAAGCCTGGGGTCCCCCCCATTTGGGGTGCTTTTGGAAGCAAATTTTCGCTCATGGGGGGGGTCGGAGTTCGAGGCAAGGGGGGGTCTCTGAAGATTATTTTGCCTTTAAAATCGAAAAATGACCCTGAAGCCTTGAAACCCTAAACGCTGGGCCCTGGAACCCTAAACACAGGCCCTGAGGCCTTGAAACCCTAAACGCCATGCCTTGGGCCACCCTTGAGGCCCTGAAACCCTAAACGCCAGGCCTTGAGGCCCTGAAACCCTAATTAGGGTCTCAAGTGTTTGGGGTCTCAAGGGTTTAGGGGCTCAACGGTTTAGGGTCTCAAGGGCATTGTGGGCCTTGGGCCTTGCCCACGATTTTTTGGGCCTTGCCCACGAATACTTGGGCCTTGCCCACGAATATTTGGGCCTTGCCCACGAATATTTGGGCCTTGCCTGCCCACGAACCAACAACCCCAGAAATTCGTGGGCAAGGCCCAAAAATTCGTGCGCAAGGCCCAAAAATTCGTGGGCAAGGCCCAAAATCCGGATTTTGGGCCTTGCCCACGAATATTTGGGCCTTGCCCACGAATCTTTGGGCCTTGCCCACGAATACTTGGGCCTTGCCCACGAATACCATTAAGGTTTATAATTATATGGTAGGAGAGGTTTAGGGTTTAGGGTATAGGGTTTAGGGTTTAGCTCCGCTCAGCAACACCCTGCACCCCCAAGAGAACCAGGAAGGGTCACAAGAACGCACGCAGAGAGGCCAACACAGCCCCAAACTGAGGCATACACCTTAGTGCATACATATTAACTAGGGGCACCCCTGAAACAAGGAATACACACTTACGAAACATCTAGTTTCTCCTCTATGAAGGGAAAGCCTGCACCCTAAACCCCCAAGAGCCCTAAATCAATTCTTCCTTAAAAACTCTAGGCCGGGCCGCTTGCGGCAAGCCTCAGTGACCTCGGAGGTCAGATTCGCAGGCCCCCAAAAGCCCAAACTGCAACATGGGCTTATTTGGCGAGAACCAGCACATCACCGGGACCAACTCGCCTGAACCCTAACTGCTAAACCCTAAATCCCAAAGCCCTAGACCCTAAAACCTCAACCCCAAGCCAACATGGGTTTAGGGTTTGGGGTTGTTTTCGCCTCTCACTCCTGCTCATGGCAGTCAAGGATACTCGCTAGTTCAGTCGAACATTAAGGGGTAGACCTGAAATAAAAGGAATCCTGCTGGAGATACCGCACAAGGAATATACCTTCTAATCCAAAGTACAAAGTATTCTCACTCAAGTTCGCTCCAGTAGAGAGAGAAGGGTTTCGGGTTTAGGGTACAAAGGCTTTGGGCCACAAACCTAGACCCGTCGTCCCCAAAATGTCAGGACTCCTGCGCTCTGCCTGTGCTGAGGGACATGTTTGGAGTTGAAACCGTGTTGAATCCAGACCCAGAGCATCAGTTGAAGCCCTACCTGGGACTCTCTTTACCTACTGTTTGATGGGTTCTACCACCTAATTTAAGGGGTAGTTTCCACTTAACGGTAGGTAAAGAGAGTCTCAGGTAAACCCTAACCCTAAACCCTTGAAGGATAAGTTTGGGACTCCCTAAACCCTAAACCCTAAACCCTAAACCCTAAACCCTAAACCGTAAACCCTAAACCCTAAACCCTAAACCCTAAAACCTAAACTTGCGGGTGTGGGGCTCAGGTTGTAGAGCGGGACCTCCTGGTCCATCAGCACTATGATTGGGGGGGGGGGGGGGGGTTAGGGTTGAGGGTTGAGGGTTTAGGGTTTAGGGTTTAGGGTTTAGGGTTTAGGGTTTAGGGTTTAGGGTTTAGGGTTTAGGGTCTAGGGTTTAGGGTCTAGGGTTTAGGGTGCTAAACATAAACATAAAAAGATTTGTCTTAATGCATCAGTACACACAAATATGAGCATAATGGTAAAGAAGCGTATGCCAATACATCATGTAAACAAACCATCTAGTTTCAAACAAAAAACTATAATATGTGTACGTGTATATATCTACATATACATGGCATATATGGCTTCGTAAACGGGAGCCCCCAAAACATCTGGACCAGAAAGGCCCACAATTTCGAGAACAACCTTATTGTCCTAATGACCGTGCTGGGGAGCCGGCGTGCCTTCGCAGCTCATCGTGGCGCTCCTCAGGTAGCACCCAGCTTCGGATGGAGTTGCAGTGTTGGTTTTGTATCATTCAAGCTGTGCGGGTCGCCCGGGAGCTGCTGAGGAATGTCCTGAGAATCTGCAACTGAGTATTTGGGCTTCTGTGGGTGATTTTGGCAGCAACGACGCCTTGTCAAGGGATTTGCATGGATAATGGGATGAGGACGGCTTGAAATCAGGGCTCTGGAGTTGAAGTGTTTAGGGTCTAGCGTTCATTCGGGATGGCTTCTTCTGAAGGGCTCTTGACCATTCCGGGCGTTTGGTTGTCTATTCTGGGAACACATTTCCCCAACCTGGGTCGAACGTGCTTTGGCAGGCTCTTGGATGGTGGTACATCTGGCGGGGGCCTTATTGGTACATCGGGCTCGGCAAGCCGCATAGGGTAGTAGCGGCTGCACAGAGCAACTATACAGGGCCCGACGCATATCAGCACCTGCCATGTGTGAGTTGGGGGACGGCCAAAAAACTTGGAGTACATGCGTACGTACATACGTACGTGCCTACCCAAAAGCGTTTCGAACCATGAGCTTTAGGGGTTTAAAGGTGTAGGGCTACATTCTGCACATTCGGCAGGGACCGGAAGCTTTGCGGCAGCATAGGGTTGGTTCGCAAGAGAGGTGGGCTCGAAACCCCGATAGGTCTTAGGGACCCATGCTCACATTTCTTCTGGGGATATACCGAAGCGCCTCTGATGACAAAGCGCCGAAATCTGGTGAATGCCCCCTTATGAGTTTAGCTCGGGATTCCAGGGTTTGGGGTTTAGGGTTTAGGGTTTTCAGGCAAATATTTTGAACCGATCGCTCGGACAAGCATGGCGAGGCACGCCAGATCTACGCTCTCGATCATTCAAGCGAGGAGCTCTACAGTACAAGGGGCTATGGGGTTTAGGGTTAGGGTTTAGGGTGTAGGGTTTAGGGTTTAGGGTTTAGGGTTTAGGGTTGAGGGTTAAGGGTTAAGGGTTAAGGGTTTAGGGTTTAGGGTTTAGGGGTTAGGGTTTAGGGTTTAGGGTTTAGGGTTTAGGGTTTAGGGTTTAGGGTTTAGGGTTTAGGGTTTAGGGCTTACGGTTTAGGGTTTAGGGTTTAGGGTTGTTGATGTAGGGTTTCGCCACCCGCGCTACACACACCATCAGGGGCCCGCTCCGCAGGGTTTAGGGTTTAGGTTCTACGTTCGAGGGTTTAGGGAGGACCAAGCGAGACCCTGAATATGACGAGCTCCTACATTGGGCACACCCCCTCTGGGCTCAGATCACGACGGCAGCTGGCGGCGGAACGCCCGTGCTGTTGCTGCTGTTGATATACTTGAAATGCAACTGGTTGATCTTTCCAGTGAACTTGAACGGAGAGCGGTCCTGGTACCAGGATGGGCTACTAGACCCTTATAAATCCCTTTTGAGGGCGCTTTCTATAGGGTTCGTTGTGAGATTTAGACGGGCCGAGTGGCCCATCCTTGTCAAGCATACCCTAGAACCCCTTTAAAAGTCACTTTATAGGGTACATTGCGAGATTTAAACCCTTTTGAACCTGGAAGCTGCTTCAAACCCTAAACCCTCAACCCTAAACCCTAAACCCAGGCCCTAAACCCTAAACCCTAAACCCAAAAACCTAAACCCTAAACCCTAAACCCTAAACCCTAAATTGGCCCCATCCTGGTACAGCAAGGAGACCGGAGCACCCAAATCCATTCCAACATCAAAAGTCTCCGAGGCATCGAAGCCCAGACGCACCGACTTCTCCACGCTCAGCGTGGCCACCAAAGTTCCATTCCTAGGATGGCCCCTGTAGGGTTTAGGGTTTAGGGTTTAGGGTTTAGGGTGTAGGATAGGGTTCTTAAGGATATAGCCCTCTAAATCTGAGCCACTGCAACCCAACAGTAGTAAAAATGCAAGATGTCCCAAGGACTTACCTAGACTCACGGACATGGTCAGCTGTGCCGGTGGACTCAAGACCACCTTTGACATGTCGTAGAGCAACCGCACCTCTTAAGGAGTATACGGAGGGACCCCTACAAGGAACCCAAAATTGTATTCCCGGGATTCTCAGACCCTATATATATACATATGTATATATACATATATATATACCTTATATAGTCCCTATCTACCCTACATAACCCCTAAGGTCTCTTAGAAGGGTCCCTCCTTTCGTCCCTTGAACCTCGATCTTCGCGTTCCCCTCCGCCAATGGAGCCGAGGACTTCGTGACGTAGCGGTACAAGAGGGTAGCCATGTACCTTGGGGGACCGGATGAACCCTGAAAAGGGTTTCTGGTCCACAAAGGCACCAGAATATGGGTTAGAGTAGTATAGGGCAGATGATCTCGATGTTAGGGGTTCATGTTGATCCCCAAGGTACTCTGCATAGAGGTAGCCCCGGTCCATGTACACGGAGAACCCGCCGGCCGTGCCACCTACGGCGTAGATGACTCCCGATCCGTTCTTGGGCACCTCAACATCCAGAGTGGCAAGGGAGCTGAATCCGCTGTGGAAGAGGGGGGCGTTGGACTCCGCAATTCGCGTCATGCCCTCGTAGAGGTACCACTCCTTGAGGGGAGATTTGGGTGCATCTTCTGGATGGTAGTAGATGGTCCACAGGCCCGCGCCCACGGGCAAGACCTTGTTCCTCGTGGCCTCCACCAAGAAGATCTGCCTAGGACTCTCTTTACCTACGGTCGTATGGGTTCTACCTACTAGTAAAGGGGTCGCTACTACTAAGCTGTAGGTACTATACTCCCCTTAGAACCTTGACAAAAATAATATCTTTAATATCCTCTTGGGTGTTATATAAACAAAAATATAAGAATAATTCCCAAGGGGGATTTAGGGTAAAGACAGTCAGAGGTGCTTCATCTTCTCAACCTGCTTGGGCATCTCCTTGGCCAAATCATGTGCCTGGGAGTAGTCCTTCGTTAGGTCGTAGAGCTCCCAGACCTGGCGGACCAAATGAACCCCTAAACCCTAAACCCTAAACCCTGACATTGGGATCCTTTGCCCTATTCCCTAACCCCTAGCATAGGGTATACATGGAGCGCCATACCACTTTAGGTTCATTTGGTCCCAAACCCTAAACCCTAAACCCTAAACCCTAAACCCCCAAGGGGCATCGGTGTCAGGGTTCCACTGCTTCATACGCGTCTCGTTGGGATCCGCCCAAGGAAGTCGGGGGCCCAACACCTTGGGTTTAGGGTTTTGGGTTTAGGGTTTAGGGTTTAGGGTTTAGGGGTTAGGGGTTAGGGCTTATATGACCTAAATACTAATAATAATAGGTAGTCTAGGTTCCCTAAACCCTAAACCCTAAACCCTAAACCCTAAACCCTGAACCCTAAACCCTAAACCCTAAACCCTAAACCCTAAACCCTAAACCCTAAACCCCAGGAGGCACGCTGGCAAACCAGCCATCCTTGTAGATCCCACGGCTGCCCATGACCTCGAAGTACTGCGAGTCCTTCCGTCCCGTGGCAGAGGCATTGTTCCTTGGGCACCAGCTGAGCCCTCAATGGGTTTAGCAGGGTTTGGGGTTTGGGGTTTAGGGTTTAGGGCTAGGGTTTAGGGTTCAGAATGGTCCAGGTCCCTTAAAACGGGTTGTGTTTCAGTATAGGAAAATGATCCCAGGTGGTTTTCAAGGTTCCACGTGTACACCATGGACACGCCATCCAGGGGCATCTGGGTCGTGCCCTCCACGTGCTCAGGGGCCTCAATTCCAACTGCCTCGTAGATGGTGGGCACAATGTCGGAGACATGGTGGAACCTTAGGGACCACATGAACCCTAGAATAGGGATCCTAAACCCTAAACCCTAAACCCTAAACCCTAAACCCTAAGCCCTAACGACGTATGGACCAATAAACCCGTGTAAGGGCTCACGTAGTCCCCAAGAAACTGGGAGCGAGGGGTCGGGTCATGCTTGATGACCTTCGGCCAGGACATCACCATGGGTGTTCGGGTGCCACCGAAATGGGCTGCCACCAGCTTGGTGCTCTTGAAGGGCGTGTCGAGGGCCCAAGCCCAGGAGCTGTGGTACCTGATTCATGGTTGGAATAGCATTAAACTCTTAATTGTGTTATTTTCCTTATTGGGCTTATGTACCCTTAAGGATGAAAAATGTTACCCAACTATGAGAAAGGTACATGTTGTCCACGTGCCTGGAGCCTAGGGCACTGAGCCCCCCGAAGTCCCGCTCCAGCACGGCAATCTGCTGCTGCGCGGTGCTGGGAAGCATGTTCTCCTCGGTAGCCCAGCAACCATGTAAGAATCAGGGCACACCTTTTTTGGGGTTGCTGAATCAGGGTACCCACTTTTTGGGGTTGGTTATACTTTATAAGGGAATCCTTGAACCCAAAGAAGGGAAAAGGGTACCCCTGGGCTACCCAGTCTCTGCCAGCAGCTCATCGATGGTGCCATGCAGGCCTTCAGCGGAGGCCCCGTTGTCCCCGAGGATGTAGATCACCAGCGTGTTGTTGAACAAGCCTGTAAGGGGCAAAAGAAGGGACCCCATAGAATAGAAGGGACCCTTAATCTTGTTCCCCATACATAACCCCTACATATGTATATATATATATATATATATTATTTATATACCTTATTATATAGTCCCTTTTTTCTCTAAGTAGCCCGCTAATACCCCCTGAACAACCCCTAAGGTCCCTTGGGAGGGTCCCTCCTTTAGTCACTTGAAGCCTTGGCGCTCCAGCTCCTCTATGACCTTACCATCCTGGGTGTCGGTGTGCTCGAGGTACCCAGCATACCTGAGAACTGCCTTTAACTACAGTTCAATGGGTTATACCTACTAATTATCCTCAACCCTAACCCTACAACCCTAAACCCCTAAACCCACAACCCCTAAAGCCCACACCCCTGGACCCCTTGTAAACGCTAAACTCTAACCCTGAACCCCTAAACCCTAAACCCTAAACTCTAACCCCTAAACCCCAAACCCCAAGCCCTAAACCCTAAGCCCTAAGCCCTAAACCCTAAATCCTAAGCCCTAAACCCTAAATCCTAAACCCTAAACTGAAATAGCGTCCCAGGTACACCTCCACGAGGCGCAGCTGGAAGGCGCGGTCCGCTTCCGGGATGTGCTCCCACCTTTTGGGGGACCACATTGTGCCCTAAAAGTTGGGGTTTAGGGTTTGTTTTTCGCTCCCAGGGTTTAGGGTTTAGGGTTTAGGGTTTAGGGCTATGTATGAACCATGAACCCGTTTAGGGCTCAGACTTGGTCCCAACAAGGCACTTCTCCATGGTTGGGTCCATCTCGGTGAGCTCTGCGATGTCTGGGATCCAGCCCATGGCCTGCTGCTTGCGGGAGGTGGTGCCCTAAACCCTAAACCCTAAACCCTAAACCCTAAACCCTAAACCCTAAACCCTAAACCCTAAACCCTAAGCCTTCTGCTTTTGGAAGGTGATGTTGCGGAGCTTCTCCCAGCCCATGTCGAACTTGCCCTTGTACTTGTCCGCCCACCTTGGGGGTCCAAGGAACCCCGAAAGGGCTTAGGGTTTGGGGTTTAGGGTTTAGGGGTTCAGGGTTCAGGGTTTAGGGGTTCAGGGTGTAGGGTTCAGGGTTTAGGGTTGACGGATGTTCCCCCTTATACCATCAGTCTTTAGAATAGGGATGATCATGGGGGGGTACTATAATCCCTAATTAAGGATTGTAGAAAGGGGAACAACGCAGTTTATGGGTCAGATACCTTCATCAGAGTTGTTGTAGTATAGGTCAGATGAACCCTATGTAGGTTTATGGTTCATACATCTTAAGAGGAGTTCTAGTAGTGCAGGGTATATGCCCCAAATTTTAAGCCCAGGGCACTCACTGTGCACGTGGTGGGGCCCATGCGTCCCGCCCGGCGCGAAGTAGATGAAGAAAGGCCGATCCGGCGTCAGCGCGCGGTTGTTGCGGATGAACTTCACCGCTTGGTCTGCGAGGTCCTCGGTCAAGTGGTAGCCCTCCTCGGGGGTGTATGGAGGCCTTACTTGCCGAGTTCATAAGCCTCCCACAAGGGTGTACACTTTCAGTACTCCATAGCACCCTAAACCCTAAACCCTAAACCCTAAACCCTAAACCCAAAAAGTGCAACTTGTACTCGTTCAGCTGCTAAGAGGCTCGATAGGGTTGGTGTTCTCAAAGAGACGCGGCTCATACTGCGACGTCTCGCCGGCAATGAAGCCGTAAAAGTAGCTAAAGCCCAGACCGGTAGGGTACCTTGAGAACCAAATGAACTCTTAAAGGGTTTAGGGTTTAGGGTTTAGGGTTTGGGGTTTACCCCCGATAAGGATGATAGTAGTATAGTGTATATGGTCCTAATGTTAGGGTTCATTTGGTTCCCAAGGTACTGGTCGAAGGGCCCAGTCTTGAAAAGGTTGTCGACCGGGGTGTTGTGCCACTTTCCTAGGCCCAGGAGTAGTTTGGGAATAGAAAGGGCACCCTTGTGTGGTATAAAGGGGTGTATAAGGGACCTCAAAACAGGACTATGGCCCTTCTCTGGGTCTTAGTAGCCCTCTCTCTCTTTCTCTCACAGGCTGGGTCCTAGTAGCCCTACAACCCTAAACTCCAAACCCTTTTGAACCCAAAACCCTCTAAACCTTATGAAACCCTAAACCCTAAACCCTAAACCCTAAATCCTAAATCCTAAATCCTTTTTAACCCAGGACTGCTGAGGCTCCGGCCTGAAATCCTAAATCCTAAATCCTAAATCCTATAAGAGCCAAGTTCCGAAGGCTGCTGTGTCATAGCCGTAGCCCGACAAAACCTTCGCCACCGTCGCTGCCGACTTGGGGATGGTCCCAGTGTAGCCGGGAAAGCCTGCTGCGCACTCCTTGGGGAGCATTAGGGGTTTAGGGTTTAGGGTTCAGATGAACCATAAGAAGGGGTTTAGGGTTTAGGGTTTGGGGTTTAGGGTGTAGAGTTTGGGGTTTAGGGTGAGCAGATGAAGCCTACAAGGAGGGCCCCCCTGGTTGTAAGTAGAGTTATAAGGACCCTGAATTGGGTTATAAGGATCCTGAATTAGGTCAGAAGCCCCTGAACTACAGTTAGTACAGTAAGGGGCCCCTCCTTGTAAGAAGGGGTCTAGGGCTCAGGGTTTCGGGTTGAGGGTCCATATACCCTATAAGGGGGGGGGGGGGTATAGTAGTGTTCAGGGTAAACAATGCCCATTCTCATTATTTTTGGGGCTCATGAGTGCCCCAAGGATCGGTGATCTGCCCCGCGCCGATGTTGTGGGAGTTCCGTCCCGTGAGCACGGAGGCGCGAGTGGGAGAGCAGATGGCCGTGGTGTGGAAACCTTGTGGTAGCCCAGTAGCCATATTCTAATAAGGGCACCCTGTTTTGGGTTGGTTACTTTATAAGGGAACCTTGAACCCCAAAAAGAGGGAAAAAGGGTACCACTGGGCTACCAAGAAACGGTTGTAGGCCACACCCCGGGATGCCAGCTTAGACAGAGTCGGGGTGTGAATCGGGCCACCGAAGGTGTCGGAAGCTCCAAAGCCCACATCATCGTTCCTATACTCCCCTTAGAACCTTAATAACATGTATGTTAATGTTCCCTTACTGGGTTCTATATAAACACACAGTTAAAAAAAAAAAACAAGTGTTAAGGGGGCTGTAGGTTCATGATCACCACAATGTTCGGGACATCCTTCTTCAATGGCTTGCGCTTGGCGGGCCAGCTGTTCCTCAGTTGCTGAGTTCATGAGCCCCCAAAAAGTGTGCACTTTCAGTTCTATAGGGGATAATAGTATCCCAAAAAGTGTAAAGGGTACTCACTCAGCAACTAAGGTGCTTAGAGTCTGCAAGAGTTGGCCCCACAACGGCCTCCGAGGGCATCGGCGGGAAGGGAAGATCCGGCCCCGGAAACTGGGCGCCGGCGAAGACGGCGTGGAGGAACCCGACCAGCCTCATCATGGCCTTCGGTGTCGCGCTTTGTGCGCGTCGGGCCCTGTGAGGTGCGGGGCTCGCCGCCTTGAGCCGTCGGCAATGGCGAAACCCTAAACCCTAAACCCTAAACCCTAAACCCTAAACGCTAAACCCTAAACCCTAAACCCTATAAACCCTAACCCCCCCCCCCCCCCCATGTCCGGCGTAGGGTCTGCTCAGCTAAACAAACCCCCCCCCCCCCCATGTCCGGCGTAGGGTCTGCTCAGCGGGAAAACATGACACACCAGAGCGGGTTAGGGTCCATGCTGCTCTCGCCGCTGACGCTAAACAAAAAGCACCCTAAACCCGACACCCTGAACTTAGGGGATAGGATTAGGGGGACCCTTGGGGATATAGACCCTCTGAATAAGGTCCCTGTTTAAGAGAGCCAGAAGAGGGTTAAGAAGGGGTTCCCTTTTAAGGGTCCCCCTTATCCTACCTAGGAGAACCAGGATGGCCCATTAAAAAACCCTCCGAAAAAACTCCTGAAGATGATCCTCTTAAACCCAATAATAGGGAAACTTAAAGAGTCCAAAGGGTCTACCGCGTGAACCACAAAGAACCCTAAACCCTAAACCCTAAACCCTAAACCCTAAACCCTAAACCCTAAACCCTAAACCCTAAACCCCACAAAACTTGGATCCGCCAGACCCGTCCTTGGTCTCGGCCTGGAATTCTTCAATGGACTGGAGAGCCGCCTTCTTTATCGGATGACTTACAGCAAACTCCAGAAAGTTAGAACGGGGTTCAAGGATGCTGGGATTCCCTTGAGTATACCTTTTGGGGTAGGGGGGGTAAGGATCTTCCAACTTTTTGGAGTTCACTGTATGATGATGGTGGTTTTGGGGTTTAGGGTTTAGGGCCATGTGAAGTAATAACCAGGAGCTTACCATGATCAGAATGAACGCTTCGTACGGCCATCATTGCTCTTGGTGTCATTGGCTTGCTTTTCGGGGGGAGCGAGCGCTTGAGGTGTTGAGGGCGCGGGGCTTAACTGCGTTTGCAGCTTAAGGGTTTCGCATGTACACTTATGTTGGTTGGGTCTGTGTGAAGGTGTGGAACTGGACTGACACTTCTTCAACTCATCATTCGACTCCCTCCCCCCTCCTCCCCCTCGCACCCCGCGATGTCGGTTCTTCTATGTTGGTGTGCGAGGGGCTGATCTAGAAGGGGCGTAAACACGAATGCCTTCTAGCTGTTGCACAAGGGAAACAACTGTTTTGAGCAAGATGTTCATGAGATGAGCGAACACCTCGCAGCTCGAACGGCTTTTCCGACCGCTCCGCGTGCCCTTGGCAGTTCTGTTGTCTCAGCGGAAGAACTTCCAGCGGTTCTTCTTGCGGTTGGGCACCTGGGCAACTGCAGCTTGGGTTTTTAAAACCCGAGCAGATGTCCTCGCCTTTATGCAGCTTTAAGGCAAGGATATATACATGCAAACTACCCCTAAGCCCTAAGCCCTAAGCCCTCAACCCTAAACCCTAAACCCTAAACCCGAGATCCGCGTGGGGCATCTTGCCCCCAGAACCTAAGATCGGGACACCGCTTCCTTTGTGCACATTCTTCATCTGGTACCTCGGGCAGGGTCTAGGGTTTAGGGTTTAGGGTTTAGGGTTTAGGGTTTAGGGTTTAGGGTTTAGGGTTGCCCTACTTGGAGCTTCATGGTACTTAATCCACCACTTATAACTGTACTTCTAACCCACCTATAAGCCCCTTTAAGCTCCCTAACATGGTTCTAAGTACAGTTCTAAGTAGAGTTGTATTTGGTTGATAAGTACCATGAACCTCCAAGTCGGAAGCACTGCTGCAGGTAAATACCCTAAACCCTAAACCCTAAACCCTAAACCCTAAACCCTAAACCCTAAACCCTAAACCCTAAACCCCCATAATTATAGTAGGCATCAACCGTAGAACTGTGGGAAAAAAAGTCCCAGCTATTGCTCATGGTCGGGAGCCCCTACGTTACTTGAAGGCCCGTAAGGTAAAGGCCCTCAATCGGAAAAAGCCCGGCACCAACCCTAAACCCTAAACCCTAAACCCCAAACCCTAAACCCCAAACCTAAACCCTAAACCCTAAACTAGTCCCTGAACCTTGAAGATCTCCACCCTAAGCCCTCAAGCAAGAAGCCCTCAACCCCTTTTTGCATCTGGACAGGGAGGGGACCCTACAAACCCTAAACCCTGCACACCCTGCACACGCTACACACCCTACACCCCTAAACCCTAAACCGCACAAATTTGCAACCAAATGGTCGGCTGCAGCAAAACGCTTCAGAGCGGCCACCTGCCGGCAACGGCCTGGACCCTGAATGCTGGACCCTCAACCCTAAAACCCTAAAACCCTAAAACCCTAAAACCCTAAAACCCTAAAACCCTAAAACCCTAAAACCCTAAAACCCTAAAACCCTAAAACCCTAAAACCCTAAAACCCTAAAACCCTAAGACCCTAAAACCCTAAAACCCTTAAACCCTAAAACCCTAAAGCCCTAAAACCCTTAAACCCTACACCCTAAACAGGCCCTACGGCCCTCAACCCCAAAACCCCTAAGCCCTAAACCAGCGAAGCTTTCCGAGATGAGCTTTGGGGTCGAAGCAACCCAGGACCCACCAAACCTTCAACTGTCAACCGAACTTCGCGAACCCACCCCAAGATTTTAACTAGATCCGGACCCTTTTGATTTCAAGAAATTCCTACCTACAGTTTCGTAGAACTACCCTGAATGTGGAGGCAGAACCCATTCAAAAAAACAACGACTGTGCGTAAAGGGGGTCCCAGGTAAGTCTTTTGGAATTACAAGGAGGGGCCCCCTAGTTATAAGTAGAGTTATAAGGAGCCTAAATTGGGATATAAGGATCCTAAATTAAGTTGTATGTCCCTAAACCCTAAACCCTAAACCTTAAACCCTAAACCCTCCTTGTATGTCCGTTCAGCCAGGAGCCTTGCGAGCAGCAATCGGGCATTCTGACACTCTTAGTAGCACAGCAACCATATTATAATAAGGGTTTAGGGTTTAGGGTTTTTGGGTTTTTGGGTTTGGTTACTTCATAAGGGAACCTTGAACCCCAAAAAAGGGAAAAGGGTACTACTGGGGCTACCAAGCTATCACAATCTGAGGCCCAGGCGGCCTTGGAGCAGGCCACTTCACGCGGGGGCCGAGCTCTTCATCACTGAGCTCGCCGTCCGTCTCTGCCGCCTTGTACATATGAAGAAGGGTTCATATTTTCTTGTATCTCCAAAAGGACACCAAGTATATACACTCACCAATCATACAAGGGAACCTTATATGCACTCACCAAGAATGAGGGCTTCGAAGGGGGCATGGGGGCGGGCGGGGCCCTAAACCCTAAACCCTGCACCCTAGGGTGTGGGGTGGACTCAATAAGGGTTCAGGGCATGTTCACGACTTCCTGGTTTCGAGGTTTTCGCATGCTGTGGGCGCGCAGGCGCATAGATAGTAGATGTGTCGATGTGTGCACGTGTACAAATGTGCGCATGTGTAATTGTGTACAGGTCTACCTGTGTACGAAAAAACATGCATGCATATGCATATTACGTAACCCTCAACCCTAAACCCTAAAGATATAGATATAGATATAGATATAGATATAGATATAGACTAGGCTGCCCAGTAACCTAGGCTTAGAAAGGATGCCCTTTTTTGCTTAAAGGGGTTGAAAAGGGAACCTAAACCCCCCAAAAAGGGAATAAGGGTACTACTGGGCATCCGAGTAGATATAGATATAGATATATATATATATGTATATACATGTGTGTATACCTTCACATTGTGTTGCAGCACAGCCTTGAGATGGTGGAGGCCAAGTTGGAAGGTAGGCCTTAGGCCTTAGGGGCCCCTCGTGGGCATAGCTGTTGCTTCGGATGTCGTTGCTTACCCAAGCGGAAGCCGGTTAGGGTTT